AACTTCAGTCTTTGCCTGATCTGGGCCATGGTGTTGCAGAAGAATAGAACGGCTACCTTGTGGATTAGGGCTACATCCAGGGAAATCAACATTGGAGTTCCAAGTGATCTCTTTGGTTGAGAACAACACAGATATCAATGCATGAATTAGAGCAAACATGTCCAATCTCCAAAGCAAATGCCTTTGTAGTTAAGCTGAAGCAGGCAGGAATGCCCCCTTTCTCATTCTGTGAGATGTCAGCTCCCATTTTCAAAGCCACCAGGAAACTAGAGTGAGTAACAGAGGCAGAAGCCCACGAGTGTTATCTAGAAACTTATGGTAGAGATCCATGCAAGATTACAGAGCAATGGATAAAAGATGTTCATGAGTCACTACTGAATCAGGGGCTGGTTGAAGTAAGATCAATCTTTGACTCAGCATGAGCCAATTTGTTTATGGTCTTCTTTAGTTTCATCTAAAATGGCTCAAAGTGTAGTCTTCAAATAACAGGCTTGCGACTGACGGTAAGGAGGTAGGAGTTGCTCCTAGCGGCTACCTCATACAGGGCTTTGATCCCATGTTCTCAAAGAGGCCTATTTCTAGACAGATTGCCTCTGTGGTTTAAAGATAAAATTAAAAATGTTCTTGCCTTATTCCTTCAGAAACAATTTCTCAGTGAAATGAAGACAGGTACGCCGTCAGGCTGTGGATCAGGCACAGAATGCGAAAGACTCATGCCCAACGGGACACAGAAAGTCAATAGCATGCCTACCACTGAGATACTTTTTGCAGTTGTACATTTCACCTTCAAATTCCTGAGTTAGCAACACATTGTGCTCCAGATAGAGCCTCTTCAAGACACTTGGATTCGTTTGTGTCTCAGCAGTACCTGAGAGCATCTTGGAGGACTTGGGGGGTGTGGAATAGTTCTTCTCTTTGTTCATCTATAGCATCTGTTTTCCCTGTTTTTCAGGAGCATTTTCATTTTCCATGAAAAATAATATTTACTGGGAACAGAACAAAAAATACGACCAAACCAGGAAATCATAGAGTTAAAGCTTCCTTTCGCATGGTATAATAGTTGTTAATAAATGCTAAGGAAAGAAACCTTTTATGTGCCAGTCTCTGTTCTAATTGCTTTACATGTACTAATAGCTTTCCATGGATACTGCTGTAGTGCCCTCAGGAGGTGAGCATTGTTACTACAATTTGCCATCAAGAAAAGTGAAACTCGGTTTCTTAAATTGTAAGTGGTACATGCAAGGTGGCTAAAAGTCATCCACACTTTTCTGAGACCAAACTATCCAGTGCACCTCCACACCACCACACCTCTTAATAATATGTGAGCAGGATTAGGTAGGAAAAGACCAAGTCTTAATTTATGCAATGAGCCTCACTTTGGCAACTTCAATGAGTTAATTGCAATGCTCTAGTTATGATGTCATAACTGGACATATTTATTACGAGGTGTTGTTGGTGGGATGATGAATGAATACCCTAAACTTACAGGTGGAAATCAACAGCCAAATTCAAGTGTTGGCATCTGAGATTATTCAGAGTCAGTGCAGAGCTAGGAGAGAGTTCAAATTCTACCACCTCCCTGAAACTCTCATCGTAGCTCCGCAGATGTTGGCTTGTAATGTTCTGTGTCAGAATTCTTTCCTGTAACTTTTTCATCACTGCGGGTTGAGTTCCTTTGTCATTATTCCACTTCTTATTTTTGTTCTGTTCACGATCAAAAGAGATTTGCACAGCTCATCTATTTCTGTAGGTGGAAGGTAAAGGAGAAGACTAACTCCCACAGTTCAGATCAAACTTACAGCACCTTGGTTTTCCTGAAATGTACCATTCCAAAATATTCAGTTCTGGATCTGCAGAAATGAAGATGGCTCACACTAGAACTCAAGGCCTCATCCACCAGGCGACCCGGCATCCTGGATGCCTGGAAAGTTACCTGCAAGATCAATGAAGCCAAAGGAAATGAATTAAAAAGCAGTCATTGGGCTGTCCTCTGGATGGCATCTGGAAACATGCTGGGACCATCTCCTGCTCTCCTCACCCTACCCCTGCAGTGGATTTTTTGCTACATTACATAATACCAGGTGGCTGAAGGCCCGTGGTTCATTCCATTACATTAAGCCATTGACATTTCCGATGGTAATGAGACTTCCATAAACCACACACATTTGTGTGTGTGACTCCTAGAGCGATCTTGCTAATATGTTCTCATTGTGCTGTGCAGCAGAGAGACCAGGCATTTTGGAGAGACCTCCAGAGCACTAACAGCAGTTCTCTGCCAGATTCTGGAGTTCGACCATGAGCTTATTCATGTAGGACACTAAAAACACCCGAGAAACTTCAACAGTTCTCCTCTGTTCCTGCCTCAGAGACCACAGGGCTGTGGAGCCTTTGCTGCTCAGGTCCCACTTTTCTCTTTTAAGCCACTATGACTTGCAAAATTCACTTACAAGGATTTTCTTCCTCAAACAAACAATAAAAGGGAATTCAAGTCACATTATAAATGCAAAATGCTGATTTGATTTAAACCCGGAGCCGTTCATCTACACCCAGAACTCTGCATGTGTGATTACCTTGGGTGAAAACAAATACTGCTTTTGTTTAGAGACAGTCAATGCATGTGATGGGCAACTTTGGTGCAACGTATCGAGCAGAGGTCTGATTCAGAGAGCAGCTGTGAGTGATTTGGAGTCATGAGCTCTCAGAGCCTTGGTTTCTTAAGACACATGCACATGCATGTACACACACACACACACACACACACAGTCCCCAGAGGCTGTGTAAGGGCTGCATAATATAACCCAGGTGAATTGACTGATAGAATATTGACCACATCGTCTTCCTAAGGATTTTTATGTAAATTTCTGAGGAACACTGACTTCCATAGAGGACAGCAATGGGCCACCAAGAGCCATCAAGAACAAACTCTGCAGATGTCATTCCTTCTCAACTCCTCAGTTTGGAACAAGTACTGCGTGGAACAGTTGAATCAAGGGAGCCCTTCCTGAAGATGCTCTGGAGTGGGACGTGGTGAGTCCAGGGTAGTTAGGGGCGTCACATGAATGAAGTGTGTTGTGATGGGAGCAATATGAGACAGGTGGCGGTTGCTGAGGGTCAGGTTTCATCCAGCTGCTAGCTAGCAAATCCTGCAGCCTTTTCTGGATGTTTGTCTCTCCCCTATGAAAGTGGTCCAATGACCTTCACAGATTTGAATCCCCAAAGTCAAATTCCTTCCTGAAAAAATGATTAGTATAAGCTCAACCAATGGGCTGGCTGCTACAGGAGAGTCATAGCTTTTAGGAGAGGTAACAGTGGGATTTTAGTTTAGGAAGTTTCTGGAACCTTGGCTGCTGGCCGAGCTGAGGGCTCCATCTTTGAAGAGGAGAGCGTGCCTCCAGATTCAAACTCACGGACACTCACAGGAAAGCATGCTGACTCTGTGCTCCGAGGTAACATAAGGTTAGTCTGTAACACTTAGCATCAGATTTTTTTCTTTTCCATATAAGTCTTTGATACCAAATTAATATAAGGATCTATAGCAAGGATGAGTTAGACGTTTTTTGTCAGTTGTGGACTTGAACTCAGGGCCTGGGCGCTGTCCCTGGGTTCTTTATGCACAAGGCTATTTCTCTACCCACTTTGAGCCACAGTTCACTTCCATTTTCCCGTTTGTTAATTGGAGATTAGAGTCTCACAGACTTTCCTACTCAGGTTGGCTTTGAACCAAAATGCTCAGATCTCCGCTTTCTTAGCAGCTAGGATTACAGGCATGAGCCACCAGCTCCTGGCTAGAATAAATTTTTTTTTTTTGGTTGGTCGTGGGGTTTGAACTCTAGGCTTGGGCGCTGTCCCACAGCTCAAGGCGAGCGCCCTACCACTTGAGCCACAGCACCACTTCTAGTTTTCTGGTGAGTCTCACGGACTTTCCTACCCAGGCTAGCTTTGAACCACGATCCTCAGATCTCATCCTCCTGAGTAGCTAGGATTACAGGCACGAGCCATACTCATCCAGCTAGAATAAATTTTTTAACTCCCTACCTCCCAAGGCAAGCAAACCCACCAACGCCAAGTTTGGTGCTAATGCTGTCCCAAGGTCTCCAGTCAGATTCTGATGACCCACTAGAAAGACAGGCTTTTCCCAGGGTGCCACTGGCTTTATGAACTAACACAGAGAGAGTAAACCAAAACTTATTTTCCTTTTGTTTCTTACACCCTACTAAAAGGCAGCTTTCCTAAGGAGCAATTTGTACCTCTTATATCTAGGGATTAAAACATAACACTCTAACATATATATCACTGATAAAATTGTGATAAAGAAAATATTTGTAACCAGATGATGCAAGTACTAAGACTGTTAGCTCAGTAGCTGCTAAAATTTTTCTTTGGAATGTAACTATTCTGAAACCTCCAATTTCTCTTATACATGTATAGATTTTTTCTTGTATCCTAACTATCCTAAACCCTCTCTAGTTTATCTGATACATGTGTGCATTTTGTTGTTGTTGTTGTTGTCAGTTATGGGGCTTGAACTCTGGGCCTGGGCGCTGTCCCTCAGCTCTTCAGCTCAAGGCTAGCACTCTACCACTAGAGCCACAGCACCACTTCCAGCTCTTTCTGCTTATGTGGTGCTGAAGAATCGAACCCAGGGCCTCATGCATGCAAGGCAAGCGCTCTACTACTGAGCCACCTTCCCAGTCCCATGTGTGCATTCTCTTAAGCCACTAAAACAAATGAATATGTTAGCAAAGCAAAGAAAATTGCACTGTCATCTTCTAAGTGCTATCATAAAGTGCAGGATCTTCTAAGCACTGCACTTAATTAAAAAGAGTAAATCACTTACAAAAACCCTGTGGCTTGTTATTGAAGCTTTCATTTTAGCAATTCTTTCTTAGTATTGCTGCTTAAAGAGAAGAGGCATGCCCCTTCCCCAGGTACCAACAGGCCAGCAGGTGCCCCCCAACCTGCCTGCAATCTCTGGCGAAGTTTGAGACGATGTGTGTCTGTTAGTCACCAGTCTCCCGTTTATCAGAAATATCACTGGATCACAAAATCCAGGAGATTAGTAATTTAGAAGGGCCATACATTTCCCTGGACCATGACTGTGCTTTGTTTTGTTTTGTAGACAAGAAAGAAGATAAAACGGATATGGAAGACAGAATGGCTTAAGTAAGAATGTTGACATGTCCCTTGTATAACCTTGTTCTGGCCACCAGGATGTGGATGTGTGTCTTGGACTTCTCCCATGAGCACCAACGTCACACTTGACTGTGGAAAGTGGAGCTTGCTTCCCTGGTGTGTCAGTCCTGAGGCTTCTGCTGCAGAGTGACAGGAAAGTCCTGCAGTTACATTTTTAAAGGAAAAACTATCTCTCTCTCTATATATATATATCTATAGATCTATAGATCTATAGATATATATATCTATAGATCTATAGATCTATAGATATATATATATAGAGAGAGACAGAGAGAGAGAAACAGATTCTCATATCCAGGAATTAACACTGAAAGAGGAATTGCTGGCCATTTCTGACATACAGAATTTGGAAAGTCCTAGATTTCACAGAACAGAATGGAATAAAAGCCTAAACTTGACACTGTTTACTTTGCCCCTGAATTAAAAGAGCTTTATTGAGATAGTTCCCTGGGAATAGGAAGGTCAACGAAGAACACACACACACACACACACACACACACACACACACACACACACCATTTTGTCTGAGCCTTTACAACATGCACTCTCTGACCTACATGGAATTTTATCTTTGGAGTGGTGACAGTGATACCTTGTTACAACTTCTTTGAAGTGATAACATAGCCTTTCTGTCTGAGGAGTCAAGATTAGGAAATAGTTTTCTCTAGAAGCCAGTAGCTCAGCTACACACACACACACACACACACACACACACACACACACACACACACACACACACACACACACACCCCACACACACAGCTCTTTTTCCCACTTGTCTAGACACAACTACCCCAGTCAAGGCTGCCCTGGCCCTGCAGACACATCTTAAAATCAAGGCCTGCAAAGTTCAAGTTGTTTCCAGATATAATACCATTGCTTTGAAGAGCAATGTTTAACACTGCTTATAGGATTACAAATAAGTCCAGCATACAAAGTTGTCACTCACAACGTGTGACATCCAAGGAAAAATGAGGAGGTATGTAAGCAGGAAGGAAACTATGACCTTGGTTCAAGAGGAAACTTGATCTACACTTCTTCAAAAAAGACACGCATGTCTGAATTAGCAGAGCAGGGCATGCCAATAGCTACTGTGACAATATTCAATGCATTCAAGACTTAGATGATGCTCAGAAGAAACGGGAAGTTATGTTGTTTAGAACTGGATAAAAATGCAGTGTCTTTTCAGGTAGACTGTCTCCATTAAAGGAGCTTTTATTGGGGTTCAGGTGGCTGTGGTAGAGGATGTTAGGATCTTCAGATCTCGGGGAGAATTTCTGGGGTAGCCCCTCCAATTCAGCAAAGCTTCTGAGGATGAGCAGGAACACAGGCAGCATTAGCAGCTAGGCAACCTGGGTCTGATTTCTAGAATGATCCATGCTGTAGCTATTTTCTACTTCTTATTAACTGCACTAGAATTTATTTTCATTACTTACAAGAGAAACAAATGTCCTTTAAACTCAAAACAGGATTTGATAAATTCACTCTTTGCTCTTGGCTCAAGGTTTTAGACAGTTGAGCTATCCTCATAATTGAGTAAAATCTAATAGATACGTTAAGTGTTGCTTTTGTTTCCAGGAAAACATATCTGAGTAATGCTTTCCTGACATGATTTTATCGTCATCTGTCTGAAGCCTTCAGTCTCTGTACATAGACAGGAAGTGGATGGTGCAGGCTCTCTCTTCTTCCCTCCTGCTCATCCTTCCCTTTGTCTTTCATCACATTATTTTGTGACCATCTACTTACTCAGCCCGAGAGGCTGAGATTTCTCGGACAGTGCTTTACCTCCCTGTGCCTTTGAACGTCATTAGAGCATCACTGTAAACGCAAAACCACACATGCACACTGTACTAACTATACAGCAGGTACAGACACAACCACACAACTAGTACTGATGAGTAAAGAAGTACCCAGAGCCTGGATGGTGTCAGCCCCTACGCAGCTCATGTATTTTGTTAGGCCTCACTCCTGAGGCCTCGAGTTTACTCAGTGTGCATCTTCTGAGATGACCCATTTCCTGCTCTGCCTGCCCCCAGGGTTTCAGAAGGAAGTGGCATCTTGAACTTTGGAGATGTTCTTTTTCATGGAGAACAGCAGAGGCACTTTAGAGAAGATAGTTCACTGGCAGCCACCCTCCCTGCCTCAGGACTTCGAGAGAATGGGGTGGAGTCTCAGAATGTTACTGGGATATTATTCTCCACTTTTGGTTTTATTGACTAAGCTTTGATATCCAGATGCTGATGATAGCTGGGTGCTGGTGGCTTACACCTGTAACCCTAGCTACTCAGGAGGCTGAGGTCTGAGGATTTGGGTTCAAAGCCAGTCTGAGAAAACAAATCTGAGAGATTCTTATCCCCAAATAACCAGCAAATATCTGGAAGTGGAGGTGTGGCTCTGTTGATAGAGTATCAGTCTTGAGAAGGAAAAGCTAAGAAAGAGCACAAGGCCCTTAGTTCAAGCCCCACTACTGGCACAAGAAAGAAGACCAAATAAACATACTGATAATATGAGAGGGAGGAAGAAATTTAGCTATTATTTTCAATGCTAGAGGGTTTGTCTCAAGTCCTATTTTCCCAAAAGGTAAGCAGTGATTCCTCTCTTGAGTCCTGTTAGGATCACAACTCATCACTGGAAATTTTCTTTGCTCTCATCCTAACTCCAGAAAAGACGAGAAAATGGAGCCAGTACCTCGCTGAGAAAATCACGAGGACAGGGCAGGGAGCATGCTTTGCGCTGACTGCTCTCAGCTCGAAGCTGTCTCGAAGCTCCTGGATCGCTTCTCTGTGCCTTGGGACAGCTCCTGTGTTAGCTAATCCGTGTTTTCTGTATGAAAGAACGAGGAAGGCTGTGCCTCTCCACTGCTTTCCTCCCCTGGCCCACGGCTGCTGGGGAGTATCAGGAATCCTATCTTCTTCTCTGTCCTGCAAACAGGGATGGCAGAGGCAGCAACAGAGTCTTCCATGACACACTGAGCTGGATGCAAACAGAGGGACAGGCCTGTCCTGCGAAGAAAGTTTCTTCCAGAATTAGAAGTGGATGCAAACAGAGGGGCAGGCCTGTCCTGCGAAGAAAGTTTCTTCCAGAATTAGAAGTCTTTGTAAAAACAAAGCCAAGCTCCCAAAGCATCCACTAGGGAGTAGCCTAGAAGAGCTGGAGGAGGAATCCCGATCCCGAGTCTCAGGTCCTTGCCAACCTCAAGGTCTACCTTCTGCAGTAGCCCAGTCTTCCCAAGCAGAGCTTCCTGCCTTTGCTTACTCTCGCTTGTTATGTAAACCCCCACACAGCCACTGCTGCTGAGGCTGGGAGGCTGGGAAGTATGGTGTGTAGAGGAGGAGCGTGGGAGTAGGCTAAATGAACATCTCTTGTTTGGGGGAATTCGGTAGTAGAATTTGGTGGTATATGCGTGTCTGCTTTCCCTCCACAGAATTCAATGTAATGACGAAAGGGCCTGTTCTTCAGTTAGACTTCCTGCTTTGAGCTCCTGGTGAATTAATTAGTTCTCTTCAACAGTCATTTCACTAATTTTGACCTCAATTTTCCCAGACATTAAAAATTCTACATGATGCACAAAGTAGGTAGGAAGTACAGAAATCCACTCCCGGCAGACGGTGTGTCCTCCATAAACGCTGCCTTCCTTGGCCTTGTTATTGTACCAAATCACCGGGACCCTTGAGCTAGCAGCCCTGGCTTTGGAATTCAGTTAAGGATGATTGTATGAAGCCGCTCTGATAGGATCTCTTCCCAGCTCGAGTTCCAGGGATCCTGAAGGGCCCTGGTTCCATACCTCTCCTCCTGGGAGACCCCTGAGGCTTAACGTGACAGACGTCCTCATCTCTGAGTAATCAATATACATCATACGCAGCTCAGGATTGCAGCTCTTCCTGGTGGAAGATATGGCACTGTGTGAAGCCCACAGGGAGACCACATCCTTACATAAAGGCTCTCACGGCCTGACCTGCAGTTTGAAAGTGATCTGGAAGCTTCCAATAAACCTGGGATCTAATCAATAGTTCTCACTCTTGGGTGGCGATTAGTTGAGGAATCAATTGCCATCAACGGCCCATCACAAAGTCAGATAAGTTACACAGGCTGCTGCCTTCTGAAAATAGAGAAGATATTGCTTTTCCAGTTCAAAATCTCTACTGGACATTTTCGCTGTCAGACTTCTCTTGGGGTGTGTGTGTGTGTGTGTGTGTGTGTGTGTGTGTGTGTGTGTGTGTGTGTGTGTGTGTGTGTCTGTGTCTGTGTCTGTGTCTGTGTCTGTGTGTATTTAACTATCGTCATCATCATCTAGCTAGTTCATGTTTACATGGTCATAACCCACACCAGAAAAGGACACAGTCTCAAGCAAAAGCAAGAATAAAGTTTAGCAAATTCGTTAATAAGTTTGTTTGAAGTCGTGATACTGAAGGTGTCCTGCTGTTTGGAAAAAGGAGAAAATCACCAGGCAGTTTCCCAAGGCACCTGAAATTTAGCTAGCTGTGTGGCCACCTAGTGGTTATCCTGTGAACTTCAGGATGGTTTGTCAGGTAAACACTGAATATTTTCATCACTAATGTTAGCCCTCTTCCAATGTGAGTTTTGATTACTTGTAACTTTTGGCAGGATTGATGGCCTGGATAAACAGGCATTTGGTTGTGTCAAGATGGCTGAGGTTTGAGAATACTTGGTAGATTGGTAGATTGGAGATGCTGGCAGTGGGTGGTAGAAGGAAGATTTTGTTTGGAATCATCACTGCTGCACCCCCAGCAGAAGTGGTATAAGAACAGACCGATTTGTGCAGTGCATGGTATCAAACATGGATCTGAATTTGCTTTTTGTTGTTGTTGGTCATGGGGTTTGAACTCTGGGCCTGGGCGCTGTCCCTCAGCTCTTCAGCTCAAGGCTAGCACTCTACCACTTGAGCCATAGCGCCACTTCCAGTTTTCTGGTGGTTCATTGGAGATAAGAGTCTCAAAGACTTTCTTGCCGGTGCTGGCTTTGAACCACGAACCTCAAATCTCAACCTCTTGTGTAGCTAGGATGACAGGCATGAGCCACCAGTGCCCGGCTTGGATTTGTTTTCTGAGTGTTTTTTAGGTGACTTGCCTAATTTTAACCTCACAGTCTGTAACCTCACATTGATGTATCTGCTCAGGTCCTGGCTCCTATTCTTACTTCTGTCCTGCTCTTACTATGCATTCTTAGCCAGTCAGAGATTGGGCAGAGGTTTTGCTCATACCCCAGGGCCCATGGGTACATATGGAGGCTGGAGAGTGAGACTGAGCTCAGCCAGACTTTAGTCCTACACTGAAATTAACCTTCTTTCTTCTTTTGACACAGAGTCTCACTATGTATCCCTAGGTTGACCTTAAACTCATTATGTAACCCAGGCTGGTTTGGAACTCATGATACCCCTGCCTCCACCTTCTGAGTGCTGGGATTATAGGTATGAGCCACTGTGCTTGGCACCCAATATTTATATCTTAAGAGTATGTGAAGAGCTATTAAAGCATGAGAGCACTGACCCATTCTTAGAACACCTTTCCATCCAGTTTGGTCTCTGGCTGATGCATGCCTGGCCCTAGCTGTGAACACGTTCAAACTAGCTGGGTGGTCTTTCTATTTGTCTCCAAGAGACATCACCACTTTTGCTCGTAAAGTGTTTGCTTTCTTCTTCTTCCTCCTCCATCCACTAAAAGCCATTAAGAAAAAAAAATGCAGGGCTTTACATGGAGTTCAGTGGTCGAGCACCATGATTCCTATGCACAAAGCCCTGAGTTCAATCTCCTAGTGTCACAAAATAATAATAATCAACTAATGTAGAGATCTTGGAAGGACTGGACATGGGATGGGCCTGGAGCTCCAGCTTCTTTCTAAATCTGCCTCTTTGCGCAGCAGAGGGGACGCCACCCAGCTGCAGAGTACAATAAAAGCCCAGAGTCCCAGAATCTGTGGAGCTTGGATTGAATTTGGGAAGTTCCATCAGCAACAAGGTTCCTGCATCCATCGATGGGTCATGCAGCAAGAAGGCTATAGGGCAGACAAGAAGGCGGTCTGTCCACTCACATCCTATCCCTGCCAGCAATGGTAGGACATGATTCAGATTTGGAGACAAAAGGCAGAAAATGTTAGGGTTACATCTAAATAAGCTGACACACAGCCTGGGGCTCTGATGCTTACAACCCCTGTTTCTAAGAAATACTGGGGCTACATTCAGGATTAGAGGCCACTGGGTTGGGTTAAGGTCTTGGAGACACTTGAGCCCCTGAAAGTTTAGCAGGATGGCTTCAAGGAATGCTTCCTATTCCCATCCCAGAGGGTGGAGCTGAGACTTGGCACGGATTGTGACCGGAGGACTTGATCCACAGCCACTGGGCCCCACCCTGCTGAGCTATAGACAGCACTGGAAGGCCTAGATCCCTAAGGAAAAAAACAGAAGAGGGCGGCCCGTGGAAGGAGGGTGGATACATCTCATAAGGCCTCGGAAAAGGAACCTGGACAAACTTGGAAAATGCTCCCTAAATCTTCTAAGGGTCTCACCTGGCAGGAGAGCCATCTGAAGAACAGCGGAGCAGGGGTAGAACCCAAAGAGACGACACTAGCCCAGCATCAACGAAGCAGGACTCGGGATACGCGGCATATTTATAATTAAAGCGTGAAGGAAAAGAAAGATCAGATATGAGTAAGTCCGTAAACATGGAGCACAAGGATATCAGTAGAGCACAGTAGAGAATCTTGTAGAAGAGATATGGGAACTGTATCCAAACTAACAGACCAGAGCAGTGGTTCTTTCATAAAGAGAATCAGATCTTATTCAGCCATGTAAGTAGGATCCAGAAAAACATGATGACAGGGCTAACCCTGAAACTGGGATTATTCAGGGTTGAATGAGGCCCCCGCTCTGCACATTTACCTGCAGTATTTCAGTTTTCATCCTTTGGTAAGAGAACACATTCAGCCACATTCTCTCTTAAGGTAGCAGCATGATCCACAATGTTAGGGAAGCTGAGGGCTAGCCGTGTCACGTCCCCCTGTGCATCTCCAGGGAAAAGAAAAAGCCAGCAGGGCCACTGACACGCCGCCCGACTGGCTCTCTTCCTCTCTCTTTCTAGCCCTGGTTTTGCTGAGTCCGGGATGTTTTCATTTAGCCCTGGAGAGTTTCTTTCAGTAAATGAAAAAGTAGCTGCCAGGAGCTGCATCATTCCCAGAGAGGCACTAGAAGACAGGAAGCCTGCTGAGAGGAATGTGTGTAAGGAGGGGCAGGCATGTAAGTGCACCCACTGGACCCAGGGCCCAGGTGGAGCCACAGTCACAGAAACCACGCCGGGACCCCCATATCTATGTGTTCTGGGGACCTGGGGGCCCTTCATGGTTGCTCAGAGCACGTCCTTCCTTCTGAAGTCCTTGTAGCCCTCCAATGTTTCAATCAGCTACTTAAAAGAATTCTAGAAAGGCAAACCAAGGAGTTAGAACTGCCAGGAGCATTCTGGGACCTGGGTGGCTGACTAAGGAGGTGTTTCAGGGATGCTTCTGTCGTCATGGTGACCATTATCCTGCCTCCTCCACTTTTAATTGACCAATAGAATCACACCACCCAACTGGTCTCTGCTCTTCCCCACAATTCAGGAGACAGTGAATCATTTATGGGTCACAATGCCCAATTCAATGCTTGGATGAACCCTTCACACGTGATCCTTTGCCTCTTAGATTTCTCCCAACTTTGATTCCCATAAAAATAAGTAGATGAACAGTTTGTTGGCAAAAAAAAATATGCAATACCAGAGCCAAGAGACTGCTTGTTTTTGTAGCAAATGAAAGTGCATTTGAAAAGACACTAGACATTTTCTGTAACATATGTCTATACTACAGGTTGTGAATTCTACAAGTAAACGCTAGCAAAAAGAAATTGTTTCTCTTAAAGTTTTCGTGTCTGGATAAAGACGATGGCAGAAGCTACGGAGATGCGTGGAATGAGCCAAGGGGAGACTGCGAAGTCCTGCAGTTTGGTGTCTTCAGCCAAGCATCGCACAGCCATTTTGGATGTCCAATTTCAGACTCTAAACAGAAGCAGATGGTTAAAAAAAATAAGTCGGTTCCTATACATGTTTCCTTTAACATGTATTGCAGTTACTCATCTACTAATTGGATTAACCTTTCTAGGTTCTGTTGTGTTATGTTTATTCACACTTTTTTTTTAAAGATTGCCTAAGCTGGAGCTGTTTCTGGACTTACAAAAATGAACAGGCATACTACAAGATGAAATGTTCCTTTTCCAGTACAAGACGTCAAACCATTTCCTTTGTCCTTAGAGGAGAGGGTCCTTTCTCTACTGTGTGCATAGCTCTGTCATGAGGGAAAAAAGGGGCTGCTCACAAAGTGACCTTCTCTGTTTTATTCAGTGTGTTGGCATTGTGCAGAATTCCTCTTAAGAAGACCTGGAGGAGGGACCCGGTGCCCGGTATGTTGTAGGAAAGCAATCTTCCATAGAGACAAAGGAAGGCAAGCATGAAGGCAAAAACTCAGAAATGGGGCCAAGCAATGAGTCGTTTTGCTTCTTCTCGACCAAAGTCAACATTTTTCCCATTAAATTTTCTAATATGTGCATAGTATTTCAAGTGTACAAATCACTCATGAACTTATGTTCTTGGGTCAACTAAACTATGAAAGGAGCGTGTTGTTTTCTTCTTTCTAAAATGGATTTAGTGTGTTGAATTCTTGCTTGCTCCTTAGGTCAAGTTTAAAAGCCTCAGACTGTCAAAGCCTCTGTTCTTCAGTATTCTCTGTTCAGAAACGTCAGCAAATACTGTCAGTGAAAATAATTAGCCGTCCTACTCTTTTGGATAGGAACAGAGAACTTCCTCTCTCAACAGTAAAGAGCATAAAAGGATGCTAGCATTTGAAAAGAAAGAAAGGGAGATGTCCCTGTCACCAAAACTTACCACTTTAGCACTTTGATTGGGATCTGTAACTCCTCTTGGATCTTTGCTGGCGGATTTCTATAATAAATAAATTGTGCGGGGTGAAGAATTACATCAGGTATTATTGCTCTTGCACATGCACACATGCCTGCACACACACACACACATATGCTAATATCCAGGTGAGCACAACACTTCCTGTTCCATGAAAGCTCTAGGACAGTATGTAGCTCTCTCTGGTTAGGAAAATTCTTACCAGACACTTGTGAAATCTTCCCTGCATTGAAGACAGTAAGAGATTTTTCTAAGCATTTTCTTTGACTCAGACACTGTTTTGACTGGAATCCAGGTCAACCAACCCTGCTTTCCATGATGGTCTGCGCTGGTTCTCTGGGGAAACTTGGGAATACAGATGCTTCTGCCTGAGCCGAGGGCGTTGAGCAACCAAATACTGAAAACTGCCCTCACCCAGCCTTGCCTCATCCCTAAAGAAAGCTTCATAAGAACTGCCGATTTTACCACGGAGCCCTGAGAATCTTGGGTGTGTTCAGCACCCTGTTCTGGGTGAGGGGTGCTCTGCGATTTCACTTCCAGGAAGCTGGTATGGAGATGAACCCTTGGGGGTGATTGCTAGAGATCCTGCCATGTTTATTCTCTTGCTTAACTGTGAGTTTCCCAGCCTGGAGCTGATTGAGTACCAGTGAAAGCTATCCTTGAGAAGTCTTACACTCAGGAGTAGAACTCAAGGGAAAAGACAAACGAGGTAATTGCAGCAAGTAATATATTAATGGTCATAAATCCAAACTGCTTGACAAGAATTCATGCTAAACAAGAGGACATCAGCATTCCAAACAAAGGACTTTTATGGCTCTTCTAGTTCCTTCTTTCCCCAGACTCTGTTCTGCTCTGATGTCTCTACCAGAGTGTTCTCGCTTTACCTGAGGTCAGTGATTTGTGTGGTAATATTGGCCCTTTCAAGGAACCAAGTCGTGGATGAACGGTATCAAAATTGTTAATGAAATGGTCACGGATGCCCGTAACCCACAGGCAGTGACCGGGACATACCAGCGTGATGTAGTGAGGGCTTGGGAAGCCGGATGGAAGACTCTCCAAGGACTCTGAAGCTCTCTGCTAATGCAAAGAGACATTGTTAACCTGCAGCCGCTACTCCACCAGGTATGACTATTTGCCAACTCTCCAGAACACATTTGCCAGCCCTCCCTGGACTGTTTTCTTAGGAAAGGCAAAAACACCCACCATCACAAAACCCTAACCCACTGAAGATATAGAAAAAAAAAAGTCTCCAGAGATAGCTGCCTCTAGTCTACTGTGCACAAAGCAAGCATGCGGAGAAGAGAAGAGGTTTCTCCCTGACCCACCAGAGCCTCTCCTTTGGGAGCCTCCTTATTTGAATGTAATCTGGTAATTCCACAGCCACCTACCTTCCTTTGATCTGAAAAGTCATTGGGTCGTAACGCACACCCTCCAGCTGACCATTAAGATAGAGGCATGCTTCAGTGAGGCTAGACCAAGCTGTGGTGATGTGTGTCTTGCAGGAAATTTTCTATTTTATTACATGGTCACATATTCTGAAATAATATTCTCTCATGATTACTTTCATATGTGTACAATCTCCAATGATGTTACTTTCCTGATGATCCTGTTTGAACTCTGATTTTTCCCCCCTAATCTGTCTACCTAGAAGTTTGTTGTTTTTTTTTAAATGTTATGACTCTTCTCAGAAAACAACTTTTTCATTGATCTTCCCTATTTTTCTTTACTTTTGTTGGTGTGACCTGTCGTTTACTTCTCATTTGCTTTCTATCTGTACAGGGTTTTGTTTGTGTTCCTTTTTTTTTTTCTTTTTCCTAGTGTCTTTTCTCATTTTGTTTTTGTAGGAATGGTTTTGAACTCAGCATTCTGAGCTTGTTCCATAGGCATTTTGCTATTTGAACCATATGCATTCTGCTTCAGTTGTTTTTTAAAATAGGATTTTGTTGTGTTTATGCCTTTGCTTGCCTGGGCCGTGTTCTTTATTGTGTTTCCTGGGTTTCAGGCACATTCCCCATGCCCAGCTTTGTATTGGTTGTGACAGTTCTCCTTAACTTTTTGCTCAGGTTAGCCTTGAACCTTGACCTTCCTGATCTTCATTCCCCAGGTAGCTCTTATGAACCTCCATACCTGGCCTGTTTTTCTAGTTTCTTACAGTGAAGGTTTCTGTTATTAATTGGACATTTTTCTTCTTTAACCAGGTAAACAGAGTATCTAATACCATTTTGATTTATCATTTGACATATACATTCCTTAGAATGTACTTAATTCCACCAGATCAGTATCTGCATCAACCTGTCACTGCTTTTGAATGTAATTTTACTTGGAGAACACATTCTTCCAAGTTGGATAAGATTTGTCTTCTGGCTTAGAGTCTTTTTCCAAATTTTTTTTTTCTGTCTGGTCGTGGGACCCGAACTCTGGGCCTGGATACTGTCCCTCAGCTCTTCAGCTCAAGGCTAGCACCCACCACTTGAGTCATAGTGCCACTTCCGGCTTTTTTCTGCTTATGTGGTGCTGAGAAATCGAACCCAGGGCCTCATGCATGCGAGGCAAGCGCTCTACCACTGACCCAACTTCCCAGCCCCAAATATTATTTTCTTTGGTTAACAGACATTCGCTTCTGAACTCCTCTCTTGGCTGCCATGCTCTTCTCCCCTGCCCCACGGTAGGTCAAGAGCTTCTTTGTGGGCAAACAGTGAAACTGCTTCTCAGCATAACACAGTTACCTTCTCAGTTAACTGCCCACCCCAAGCAGCTTAGACTGAGTTCAACTTCACACACACACACACACATACACACACACGCACGCACGCACGCACACACACACACACACACACACACATGCACCCCCCCCCCCCAGTTCATCCCCAGGGCACATGAAACTCCCTTACGTGTAAGGGGTGAATATCTGTCAACACGGGCTCTGTCCCTGGTTGATCCTCAGCGATGTAGCCTTTATTTTCCACCCCTTGTGTTTCCCTAGGAGAACTGTCAGGAAGAACATGGAACAGGGACACAAATAAGGAGGTAAAACTGTGAAGCCATCTAAAGCCTTTTGAAAACATGATGCTCAGGTGGCAGTGTGGTAACAGTTGGGGAGAAACCACCCATCTAGTGGTATTTTTGCAATATCTCTAGACCATTCTGACATGCAGCAACTGGGACATAACGGAGATATGGGCAGACATGGTACAGGTTGATTTACTAGTATTTTTTAATCTGCTCTTCAGAAAGAGACTTAGACTTTCTCTCTCCATTGTTAGTCAGTATCTTATAAACACAAAACTTCCACCCTTGGGAGGTCCCTTCACCCCGGGAAATGCAGACGTACCTCTGAACTTGCTTCAACTTAATGCACTTTTGGTAGCGAATTAATAATGTGATGGTTGCCACACCAGCAATAAGCCCAGCAATCACAATCACCACGACGGAAATGCCTGCGGCGTTGAAAACATGGCCCTCAGCCAGGGGGTCCGCTTTACAGCAACGCAAAGTTAGCAGTTAATGGAGCTCTGACATTTTTTTTTTCAGTTTGCATTACTGTACATTCATAAAAGAAGGGGAGTTTCGCTACAGTTCCTCTCTCTCCTCCTTCCACCTTGCTCCAGCTGCAGGTGCTCAATGCCGTCTTTGCATAAATATGACAGCTCTCCATCCTCTGCACCCCTTAGCACCTTTTCCTGTCCCTCTCCCTTTTCCTGTTAATCTCTCCCAGACACGCCAACCCCGTTTACACTCATGACCCATCACCACCATCACTGTCGTTTCCCACCAATGAGCAACACACAGAATATTTGCCTTTGCTTTGGTCACTCCTTACAGCTGACAAAGGCTGAACAGCCTCTCACTAGAAGAGGCTGGGTTAGTTATTAGTTCTATGGGGTCACTGCACTAAATCCAGCTTGAGTCTCCAAGCATGCACACTAGTGGAAGAGGACCCTACAGAGAAACATAACAAAAGTACAGTGTGCCCGCTGGGCACACCTGTGATCTGTGGGAGGTGTTGTACCCCCGGATGCTTACTGCTCAGGTTGAAGGATTCTCCCCAGTCTGTAAGAGTCTGTTCTTCTGCACACTGGCATTGAGGCTCACGGCCATCCATCTGGAAGAATCGCTACCCATATAATTTTACCAAATGACTCATGTAGGCCATGGTATTTTTTTTTTTTTACTTCATTTAGGCTAATGTTAATTTCACAACCAACACCCATACTTGTGCATGCATTTACACACACACACACACACACACACACACACACACACACCTCTATTGATTAATGAGCTCAACTACATACAAAATCAAAGGCATGCAAGTAAGCAAACAAAACACAAGAAGTAACCATCTTTGGAGAAATCTGTCAAAACAGGAAAATGAAATCTACAGAACAAGACAGGATGATGTATCTTTCCAGAACCCATATGTGAATAGCCCCTGCTACAGTCACACATGTGACAGCCAGAATGCAGACCAACCATAAGCTTAGCAATCTATCATCCCCCTTATCATCTGGCTATCTGTCTATCTGATTATAAAGGTCAGTTTACTCACACATACACTCAAGAATAAAGGCTTATGTAAGAGGCCAGGAACATTAATTTTAGAAGCAATAACATCTTACTGAATTTTCATCACATTGAGAAGAGCAGCTTGTTGAATTGTAGGCCTTCTGCAGGCTTACACATTCCCCATTGCTGCACACCTAGAAGTGAAGTAACAAATGAGTTAGAGTGATGAATATTCTACATGACTTATCATTTATGTAATTACATAGATATTATACATTCTGTTTTCTGTGGGTTAATTAAAATGTATGTGATTTTATTCCTACTGTTTCTGGGCTTTTTCCTTCCTAAGGAGGAACATTCAGATGACACACTTCATCCCTTCCATTCCAAATCCACACTGGTTACAGCACTGGAAACCACACTTGCTGAATCATAATGGCTTAATCTAACATACGAACAGGTTGTTGAAATCCCCATTCAATCATTCGTGTCTAGTGTGGTTCCTGACAGCCTTGTACTTGGCCAGTAAATGAGGTTGCATAAATACACGAAGAATGGAACAGTCACATTAATTAGAAAAAATAGTCATGTCTGATTTCATTAGATCCCTAATAGAAGATACTAATTAAACATATTTATAGCAAGTACACATCTCTTAGCATGACTATAATCAAACAAAAATATAATTACAGTGTTATTGCTTCCATTTTTAGTTGCCATTTTCCCATAGATAGCCCCTCTGGAATGCATTATCGAATCCAGTGATGTGTTCTGGCCAGCAGAACTCTAAGTTCCAGTACACAAACAGTCTTACCATTCCATCTCCACATTTTGTTCCAGAATCCACCAGGCCCACATCTTCAGCATTGTGGTAGAAAAACACGGTCCTGCACTGGCAGGTAGCATTGGGTTGTGGAAGCTTAAGATAGTACGTCTTGTCTTCTCCATGGAGAGGGGAGAGCTGTCTTCCAGTACAGAAGAGCTTCCCACATTTCACATCTCTGCAGGAAAGGGAGAATATGCTTAGATTTGGAGTCAGTTAAGAGATGAAACTGGCAAAACAGGAGCACAGATACATTTCCCCAGGCCCAGGCTATTCCTGCAGAGCAAATGAAGAAAACACAAACACAGCTGAAGTACTGAGTCTGGGAACTGAGATGAATAAAGCATATAAAATAATGATTTAAAAATAGTTCTCTATGATTCTCACACACTGGTAGCAGTCAGTCCCTAGTTCACAGAAGAACATTTCTTGCTAGTGAGGTGAACTTGTGTGACTTAAAGAGACTAGGTAGACACCCTTCGTATTCTTTCTGGCGTTTTGGTTGACTGATTGTCAGCCTGTGAGGCTCTGTTATTGTAGCCCACATTTTCCACGCAGGCAGCAACTGGAACAAGGAAGGAAGGAAGGGAAGTGGACCTACATTTCTACCTACATTTCATGAATAAAGCTGAACTTGACATTGGGCTTTGATGATGGTTGCTTTCAGTCTAAATCTTGTGCTTGTTTTCTTTTACACATTAAAGCCTTGGATGCAAGCTGCCAAATCTCAAGGTGTGTTCAAGCTCAGGCACATGAACAGCAGATAAAACTTCTGAATTATCCACCCTAATTTCAACTCTGCCTTTCTTTTTATGACTTTATTTCCTTCGCTAGTTTTTTTTTTTTTTTTACTTTTTATAACTTTCCCTTCATTCCATTTGACTCATTCCTTTTTTTTTTCTGTAATGTTATTTTCCTCCATAAGCACTTTCAATCTTTCCACCTTTCTATGTCCCATCACCGCCAGCCAAGAAACACAGTATGTAAACACCTAGCAGTCCACCGGGCAGGGACATGGCTTTCCTTCCTGCTCCCTTCTCTTCCCAATCTCTCAGGCAAAAGAGGCCACGGGATGCCACAAGAGCCTCGCTGGCATTTCTAAACATTCTTCCACAGCCCTGTGTCTCACAGGCCACTTACTTCTCTTCACAAGGAGCAAATCCATTTTCCTTGTTTTTGCAGTAGCCAAATTTGTTTCCTTTTTTATTCATCTTGTAGCAGGCATCGTGACTCTCTTTTGCTCCTGGGGTATGAAATTATGATAAAACTAAGACAATGAAGCATAAACATGGTAAATCATACCACACCTTATTTTCTAATGCAATTAAGCACTCACTATCATGGTAGTATTAGGTAGCAGTGAAGTAGAATTGAGTAATTATTCATTTATACTATCCGTCAGGAGAATGTTTAAGGTAGGAATCAAGATTATCTATCTATCTATCTATCTCTCTATCTAAAGTAACAGTAGCAGAGGTAGGATCAACAATAGAGGCCATGTCCAAAGAGGTGCTAGATAATTCCTTGGGACAATGCCACCAGTGGTATGATTTCCCATCTTAACCCCAAATTCTTACAGGAAAATAATAGAGAAAAGCAGGCTATCGACTTTATCTCTGTGACTGTGTCTCACCACCACTAAACAATGCATGGCACTGCTGGTCCCGAGTGGGGCATTTCCCCAGGGAGCAGTAGCCTTCTGCATTCTTGCATGGGGTCCCACTGGGTTGGAACTGATCTGGAGGACATTCAGGTGAGTGGCCAGAACAAACTTCAGGAAGGTCACATTCATCTTTTGCTGGTCTGCATGGAGATCCTTCTTTCTTTATCTGTTAACGAAAATCAAAGCAGAGGGAGGCATGTACACATTCAGGTCAGTAAGCCTTGGGCACCTGGGTTGCAAGTTGGCCCCTTTCATTGATCTCAAATGCCTTGTTCAAGGCAAACCATTACTTCCTTCTCTATGGCACGGAGAATTATTTTCATCGGTAGAGGTTTTAGCACTTAGGCAGTTTTAGGGATGACCAGATGGTGATTTTGCCAATGGATATTACAATTGTCACACGTAGTTATAAGTAGGATGGGACATAAAATAGACAAATGAGGAAGTACTCTTGTTTGCCTTGTCTAATCTTCACCCTTGCTTTAGTACAATGACCTCCTCTCCAATACCCTACACACATCTGGGACATTTGTCTAGAAAAAGGAATCTCTATCACCAGGAGATCAGATCTCCCTGCATGTACTGGAAACATGCTGTGGGGAGAGGTCTCATTACCAGGAGGTATTTTATAGAGAGATTCTGTCATCCAGATGTTCAGCAGTCACTTAAGTGTGCTGAGTTCTGACAAGAACTGAAGATGTATGTAAACGGTTATGTTCTTGGCGAGTTCATGATGCAGGGAGGTAAAAGATGTTTTCGTTAAACCCTTAGAGAGAGCCATCTGGGATTTTTTGGTCAACTTTTCTTCACCAACTATCACTATCTATCTGCCATTATCACTTGGCAGCCCCAGTGTAACCCATTCCTCGTTAACGCTGTTATTATCAAGATGGTAACTCCCCTCTCAGCTGAGGTTTCATAGAAGAGCAGCCTCAGTCATGCGACTTCACTCCTAAAACACCCCATGCTACTTTTCTCCTGGCCCGTGCATAGCAGCACCAGAGGCTCTGGTAAGAGCAAGCCCCGCCTCATCCTGCAATTAGTAATGGCGGCTCAGCTAAGGTTGGCAGGGCTTTGGGAGTTCATCCACCTGAACTGAAAGCAGGGAAACCCTCTCCCAGCAAAGGGCCTTACATGACAAGATTCACAGCACTCCCCTTGCGCACAATCAAATCCTGGCTTCAGGAGACACCTGTGCGCATCACAGCAAGGATTAGCGCACTCCTGGAAATACAATCAAAAGCGAGTATCAGAAGTAGGTTTGCATCTTGATTCCTGTTTGATGAGGTAATTAGCTGTACTTCTGGATGACTTTTCAGGGTTAAATGCAAATGACTCTGGGATGCAGGTAAAGATCAAAGATCCCTGTGACAGACTTTAACTGTGTTTCCTTCTTTGTTTAGCTGTTCAACACTCCACAGCTTAGGAACTTTCCTAGTCAAGAACAGAGAGTGCAAGCCAGACATTGGTGGCTCACACCTGCAATCCTTGGCTGAGACCTGAGGATTGCAGCTCAAAGCCAGCCCAGGCAGGAAAGCCCATGAGACTCTTATCTCCAATGAGCCACATACAAGTTGGAAGTAGAACTGTGGCTCAAGCTGTAGAACATTACTGGTCTTGAGCAAAAAGCATAGGGACAATGCTCAGGCCTTGAGTTCATGGCCCAGGACCTGAGTATTCACACACAAAAACAGAATCAAGAGTCCAAAGTCTGGGCCCTTCCATTCTCTCAAGGGCTCCCATGCCCTGAAGATACAGCTGTTTCAGGCACTATCTTTTGCCCAATATGCCAAGTAGTTAAAACTGACTTTTCTTTTAATGCACCTGTTACTAATCACAGCGAGAGGTCACTAACATCCCACCTGTTCAAACAAAATTAAAACTGCAAAGGAAACAGCGGGTATGTGATTGCATGAAATGCTTTCTGGGCTTGAATGAGGCTATAGAACCCTTGCCCAAATGCTCCTGGGTAAAACCATCCGTCTCCCTAATTAAGAGACTCTTTTATTCGATTTGAGACATTTGAGGATCAGTTCTATCCTCTAGACAAGTCACAGTTCCCTCGCTGATTGTGGCATCTCTTTTCTCTCTCTGATGAGTGCGGGTTTGAGGTCCATACAGCGTCTACCGCGTGGCACTCAGAGGAGCAGAGCTCCTGAAAGTGGGTCAGAATGTGAGTCTGAGCCGCAGCCACTCCTGCTCACCAGACACCATGTTTTCACACCTTCCTTGAGACTTAAACGCACACACATGAATTTGAGTCAGCGGTTGTCTAGGACAGCTGTTCATCTGACAATCTTCGGAGAGAATTCGCTCCTATGTTGGGGACAAAGCAGCTTCCTACCCATTTTAACACTTGCCTCAAAAGCTTTTCCTAAATGCTCCCCACACCAATTAAGTGTGTGAAAGATTTCAAGGCTGTTTGCTCTGTTAAGAAAAAAAAATGGTGAGAATGGGAATTGTACAGTTGTGTTACAAGCCTTGAGTAAAACTCAATTGACAGCAAGTAAGAGATATTGTAGGATTAGCTACAGCCTGCTGCGTATGAGAGATCAGATTTAATGAGACCTGTGAGTCCTTCTTACAAGCTGAGCCAATTAATATATCAGCTAGGGAAATGTGAGGTTGCCGCTCTCCAACAAGGTCATTATACGTGAATCATCACTGCCTAAGAAGACTTGAAATGAAGCTGCTGCAACAGCTGGCTCCCAAATTAGAACAAAGACACAAAGCACGATTCCATTACAAGCTTTACAAGGGGCAGCGTCGTCAATGTGATCAGTACCCACATCTCTGCCCAGATCCCAGCTGAGCCTCACTTTGCCACTGAAAGACAGTGCCATTCACAGATACCTGGACAGAGCCACAGTCACACTCCTCGCCCTCGTCCACTTTCTTGTCTCCACAAGACGGTAAGTCATTAAAACTGTCAGGAAATGGGATGTTGAGCATGCATGTTGGCTTGGCGTTCTTCAGGTACTGCTGGTACTGGGCTTGGCTGCATTTGCTGAATTTTAGTGCAGGAATGCTAGAGAGAAGATAAAAATAAACATTTATCCTGTTATTCCAGTCTTGGCACAGCGCGACGGACGCGGATGTTAACTGTGAGGGCAGCATGGGAGATGGGCTTCACAGGACTGGAAATCTCTTCTTAGATCACAGCTGAAGTGTTATGTGAGCAAAAGGAATGCCAATGCAGCTTCCAACCAACCCTTCCTGAATCTCAGCTTTGTCATTTTTTCTGTTCTTCTTTTCCCCTGTCTCCTTTGATGGGTCCCATCTAACATAATCTTGGATTGCTATAATCTGAGTTTACAATTCCTGCAATGTTCCAAACTTCACAAGTCAAGGAATGTATCATACTCAATATTTAAAAAATATCTACTGCTTTGTGCAGTACCTGGTGCCCAGTAATCCTTCATAGACATTTGTGGAAACAAACTAGGAACATCGTACATATCCATAGGAATGTTAAATACTTCTTTCTGAAACTGAAACTTGGCTCCCTTCTATCTTCCTTTTGTTTGATTCCCTTGATATAATTTATTAACATAATGAAAGGCTAAATAAATTTTAGAGACTCAAGTTACATGAGTCAGGAAGGCAGGACTCTGCTAATATGCTAATTATAGAGACAGTCATACTTGACATTGATTACTGAGTTCTCACTTATGTCAGATGCTTGGGTGCTTTACTAATTGCAATCATTTAAACTTTAAGGAAGTCCCTCCCCCACAGTATAACCCCTGCTTTCACTGTATTTGATGTTGGTATAATTTGTGGAGGGGAAGGGGAAAAACAAATCGTTTAACTAGGGATGCAGGTAGACCTATTGCAACAATGAGATGTATAAGTCGTTATGTCGAAAAACGAACTTTACAACTTTGGTGCGGGGGGGAGTGGGAGATAGCAGGGAGGATTGAGTGGGGGGGCGGGGGAGGATGGGAAGGGATGGGAAGGGGAAACAAAGGAGGAGGCTACATTGCTTAATAAGAAATGTACTCATTATCTTGCCCATGTAATTGTAACCCCTCTATACAGTATTTTCACAACAAAAAAATAAAAATTAAAAAAAAACTTTAAGGAAGTAATGATAATCACTTAAGGTCTATTTTCTTACTATACACAACACACCTGCTGTAAAAGGACTTGGCCGATGGGCAGATAATTCACAGTATAACCAAGGGATACAGGATATCCATTCATTTTATGACTATTTCTGAAATATCTAACATGCAGACTGTTCTAGGCAAAGGTAATGTGACAGGCACCAGATAAAATCCTCTGGCCTCCTGAAGTTTATGTTTTGGTAGAAAAACGATCTAATGAAGAAGTCCAATGTGCAAAACACAGGCTGTAATCTGTAGTGATAAGTACCAAGAAGAAAACACAACAGCACAACAAAAGGAAAAGAGAAGGTGGAAAATGCCAGGACTTGAGCCAAATGAAAGAGGATTGGAGATTTGGGATAGATGGCCAGGGAAGGCTTTGCTGACAATAACGTGTCATGAACCACATAAAGAAGGTAATTATAGCTTAAAAAGAGCAAACCAAGCCACACTGACTTCACCGAAGTGTTTTGGGGGAGGTCGGTATTAATGGTCGTCATGTTCTTTTGCTCTGTGCATAGGTAGAGTTTTAGAATTGTTTTCAGCTCATCTCTAGAAAAAGACATCACCAGCTAATAGGCTTTTGTTTAAAAGAAAACTTCTCACCTTATCTGTGCTCGCAAAAAGACCTTCCAGGAAATTCCACAGAAGATGGCACTATATCCCTAAAATAATCGAGCTCACCGCGACACTACTCAGCAAGCACACGCAGGTATTCTCTTCTCACGAAGAGAATGTGCACCTCACCTTCCCCCTCCGTCCATCACGCATGCCCCCAGGGGACAGGAGCAGGAGCTGTCATTGTGTTGCAGGCCCAGGTTGTGTCCCAGCTGGTGTGCCATTCTGTTTGCTACGATGTTGATGTCAGGTAGCAGATCCTGATTTTTAAAAAATGCATATTCAAGTAAAAAGCTTAAATTATTTATTAAATGATTGAATCAAGGGATTAAATTATTGTTTATTAAGTTAGTTGAAAAGTTATTAGATCAAAAATGCTCATTACCAACTTTCAGACACAAGCACATGATACCACGTACAGATAGCACTGTGAACAAGTTGAAGGACCTGCTTTTTACTTCTTAGTCCACAATAAACTGAGACATCGCTGACTTAGTTGCTTCCCTCTCCTTTACCTCGGTGTCTGTACATAATGAGCTTTGGTGTGTGCGTATGGGTGTGTGTGGTACAGTAACACCTACTGCATTCACATAGACTCATTTAAAGCAATTAATGTTACTATGGTGTGAAGGCTTGTGTCCACCAAAATTCATGTTTGGAAGCCCTAACCCCCAAGGACTGGAGGTGATTTTTTTTAAGTCCCGGGGGAAAAGCACTCAGGAATTGAATTCGTGCCTTACACGGAGCCTCGGGAAACACCTCTTGCCCCTTCGGTGTCTGACAACACCGCAGAAAAATGCCACCTGGATCCCCGGTGGGCCTTTGTCAGACAGCCAATCTAGCAGTGCCTCCAGCTCGGGCTTCACAGCCTTTGGAACTGCGAGAAATACATTTCTGATACATGGTAACCACTTTGTGCATGGTGTTTTAGGATGGCCGAGATAAAATGCTACTGATGATCTTCTTTGTACCAGATATTCTAATGGGGATACAAGTAAAATGATTCCATTGTTCTTCTTGTCAATTCCATTCTCACACAGCAAAACAATGCTGTGTTTTCTTGTAGGGGGACTTTTTTTATTGTGTGGGAATAAAAACAAAGGAGGAGGTAGCAATGCTTGGTAGGAAATATACTCATTACCTTATTCATGTAACTGTAACCCCTCTGTACAGTATTTTTACAATAAAAACATATTTAAAAAAGCACCTGAAGATCAGAGATATAAAATTCCTGGCAAACTTGGTCATTATCCTGTATCCCAGTTGTATTTCATGTTTTATTGGAAGAAACTTTCCAAAGAGGGGTCGGCTATCAGTTTATTCAAAGATGGCAGCACATTTTTCATTTGTTCATTTCATTTTGCTCATGCAAGTTAGAAAGTGTTTCTTGGATCAGTTAACGTATCAGAAATGAGAGAGAATCAAAATTGAGAGAGTAACCAAAGCCCAAACTATAGACATAAAATGGTTTTAGAATAAATGGTTGGGTAGTCATTTTTTTTTATTTTTTTGGGGGTCCGGTCATGGGGCCTGAACTCTGGGCCTGGGTGCTGTCCCTCAGCTCTTCAGCTCAAGGCTAGCGCTCTACCACTTGAGCACAGCACCACTTCCAGTTTTTTTCTTTTTGCTTATGTGTTGCTGAGGAATCGAACCCAGGGCCTCAGGCATGCAAGGCAAGTGCTCTGCCACTGAGCCACCTTCCCAGCCCCTATCTTAAATTTTTTTTTAAATTTTTTGGGGGGTTCCAGTCATGGGGCCTGAACTCTGGGCCTGGGTGCTATCCCTCAGCTCTTCAGCTCAAGGCTAGTGCTCTACCACTTGAGCCACAGCGCCACTTCTGGCTTTTTTCTTTTTGCTTATGTGGTGCTGGGGAATCGAACCCAGGGCCTCATGCATGCAAGGCAAGTGCTCTACCACTAGCCACCTTCCCAGCCCCCTGGGTAGTCATTTTTAAGCAGTACTAGCTTTTAAGTCTGAAGGCTTAACAAGACCGTGATAGACAGGGCAATTAGGCAAAAACATGAAGGAAATAAGTACATGCCTTCACATTTCCAGTAATTTCTCAAATGGTTTTACTTGGACATCATTGATTGGAAGATTCAAGACTTTGAAAAGGATCAGACAAATAAGAAGAGAAAGTAGCTCATAGCCATCATGCTTTCTAAGCTACAAGCCTGTCTTGATAGGATATAGTGACTAGCTTCTGAATTTTCTTGTCAGTCCAAGGACAGTATCTTCACTTGCTGAAGTAGCCATGAAGTTGTATGAATAATACCTGTTCTCAGAAATAATCATATTTAATGTGTATTAATGTGGGATGTGTATCTGGATATGAGGCCCTTTTGAACTCCAAACAACATTGATATACCTTTTGTTAATTGAAAGGTATTTTAATTCTAAGGTGTTTTAATCATACAATTAAAAGGTGTTTGTTTTCTAGTTAGCAAAATGATTCAACAAACACAATAACATTCTTCAGCATAAAAATGCATGTGGATGTTAAAAATAGCATTACAGAAGTATCTTTAAAATAGCATTACAGAAGTATCTTTTTTTGTATTAAGACATCCCGAGCAGATACTTTATGCTCAGAAATTTAGCCTGGACAATGGAAGCACATGGTTTCCTTTAAAGCTTGTGGCTTTAAAGCTTGTATCACAAGAATAGAGTCTGTGTACCTTTTAAATAGCATCAACTGGAGGCTTTCTGTGGTCTTTTAATAGAGATTTAAGTGACAAGGCTACTATGTCATTGAAAGAAATTGAATCAAACTGAAAATTAATGAGGTCATCAGAGTTTGAGTGATTAAAAACACCCAGAAAAATGTAGTAGAAAACTGGATTACCTTTTACTCCTTTAAAGACAGGTATAAATAGGTATAAATATAAATAAAATTCAAATGAAATATAAATGCAGACATAGCTTTCTTAACTCCACAATTAATCCAAGGATGAAATTTTAAGTATTTTTTTAAAAAGCTAAAGCTATTTTAAACGGTGAACATCAAGTAGTTTTTCAACCCAGTTAAAGAGTTATGATTACATTTTTAAAAAATATTGCCATCTAGTTGACTTCCAATTAACCTGCCTTCAGTCTTTCTGCTTTAGTCATGTTCTAAATAATACTGGTGAGTATGAAATGGAAACTTTCTGCCTTTTCAATATGCTTTGTCTAATTATTTTAACATAGGGGATATGCTTGCTGCACTAGAGTTTGGCACTAAAGAGGCACATGAAATCCCAAAAAGGTTCAGCTGTAATTGCTTTAAATAAAATACTTTCCTTCCTTCATAAAGAAGATAATAGTCTCTGTAACATACCTTGAGAGTATATGACAAAATGAGCACAGATTTCACAGATGCAGAAATCACACGATTGAATCCAAACACTTTCATAAGGTAATATAACAAAGCACAACCTACCTTAACGACACTGCAGGAATAATGGGGCAGGCACATCCCGGCTGGGTAGGAAATTCCTTGAGCATGTGTTTGAAGCCACTTCCCACTATAAACAAAGGCATGTACACTCTTCATTCTGAGTTAAGTTCTATTAACACAGAGACCGATGGGCAGCAAAGTCCCAGAATGCTGTGCTGTGCACCAGAAAGCGTCCTACATTTCTTGAATGAAGTTTGTGGATGCTGAACTCATTTGAAATCTAAGAGCACTGAAAATGCCACTACAATCTCCCAGTGAAATTGAAAAAGGAAAAATTCTAAAAATTCTAAAAATGGGAATCTCACTTTTTAAATTCCAGTCTAGCCCGCACCAAGCTCTTGATAAAAGCACAAAAAACAAAAGACCAAGTAAGGAATTAATTCCAGGCACCAGGGACCAACCCTGTCTCAATCAAACAAACAAATAAAAAACAAAGTAAAAACGTTATAAATGAAAACAAAGAGGTCTAGTGGGCACTCAACACCATGATCAAGTAGCTATGGCTAAAAAACTTTAGAATTTTTAATCAACCATAGAAACTCAGAGATCATAACTATAACCAAAATCTTGAAGAGACATAATATGAGGGCTATTCTAGATTTCCTACAAAGACAAATACAGATGTATCTCTTATAGGAATTAACATTTGATCTGATTCACAAACAGCTTTTAGAATGAGGTCATTATAACTGGACCAACCATGGGCTAGAAGACAACATTTAAAATATCAAAAGATTCAAATTCAGGAAGGGCAACCAGGTAAGATTTTTCCCTTCTAGACTTCAACTTTTTTCATCAAGAAGATATTCTGCCTTTTAAAAACAAAACAAAACAAAACAAAAAACATGAAAAACAACTTATGAAAGTTCCGATTCTGACATCACTTAGGGTCTTAGAGGAGTTTGGAATTCTGGTCTTTCTGGATGCTAATGATCTTGAAAAAGTGCCAGGAAGGGTGGAGCCCCAGAGTGAGAACCATCTAAAAGCTGATTTATCTCACAGCTGCTTAAACGTGAAGCAGTATCATAACAATGCCATATACACTGTTCTACTGCCTCCACATCTGTGCAAATCCACCAGAAAACTGACACATAAGTCCCAAACATGAGGGCCAGTTAGACATTAGCAATTCACACCACCTTCCTATTTACAGATAACAGTAATATGCAAAGCTACTTGTCAGCATAAGGGAAATTCTGCTAAAGTAAAAGGGTCCTTCTATAACCATTTACATAGCTCTGGACCTACTTATTAATTGCTGAAAAATATGCATACAAAGAGGAGGCCTGAATAAAATTAAGCTAGTTTATGGTGCTATTTCGCTACTGTTTATTCCCCATAAATTTGGGTATAATAATGCCTGAATATCCATGCCCAAGACTTACTCAACTATATTTGGCATCTAGATGACATAAAAAAAAATCAAGAATGATATGATTTAGTGATCTGTTCACTCTCACCAATTGATCAAGGACTAGACCTGACCCCTGAGTTTAGACTTAGCAAGCTTTGTGTTTCTGAGGGCAGCCTGAAAGCTAAGCTGCAGATAACAGCAGAAAGAAAATGAATAAGCTGTGTGTGTTGAATTCTGAGAGGCGCATGAGAGTTTCAACTGCTATGCCCATCCAGTCACATTTTCAACTCTGCCTAGGAGTATGCGTATATTTGCATTTCCCTTGTAGTTTAATCAATATTAAAATGAAAGATTATTAAATGATCCACTTGGAAGTTTTGTGTATAGGTTGAAGAAACATGTTTTTACCTGTATGTACTACACAGTCACGTACTTTATAAAGCATCTTTTGTTCATTAGTTCTGTTTTATATTTTAATAACGCACCTAAGATGTTCAATAGAGGAATCACATACCTCAGTAACAGGACATGGTCATAATGCTTTCTTTTCTTAAGGACTGTTTCTTGCCAAGTTGAAAAATGTGATAAGGTAGTTTCTATATTTGGATCCACTTCTATTTGGTCTCCATTGGTCCATACTTCAATGCCAACCAATGTCACGTGAATATTCAAGGTTTTGTAAACCTGCTCAGCAAAACCATATTTTAACCAGGGGCTAGCAGGATCCTGCATCATCACCACATTCCTTTCCATTTCCAAAATACTTCAGTATTTGTAACTTGTTTTGAACATAAGAACATAGTACAGTTGTCGTTTAACAAATTGAAAGATGGAACTAGAGTGCAGAATGTATTGTGATTTGAATATTTTGTTGAGTGTTTTTCCTCATGGAAATGACCACAGTTCACAAAGACTCTTGATGAAATCATTCTGATATTCCTTGAAATACCACAAACCTTAAAGACACTGGTCTTAGAGGGTGTCTAGAAGAAAGAATTTATTAAAACCTCGTGTGAAAAGTATCCTGCTATTACAGATTTGGTGAAAGCGGCACGTGGTGGAGTGAACGTTCTTCGTTCATCTTTCTACTTTAGGTGGAGAGTAGGGTTTACAGTATGTAAGGAAGCTGGAACCAGCCTTCAGAAACGCAGCTGTGTTGAGTTTTTATACTGACTTTGATCTGAGAAACCTTACTAGGGATTCGCTAAGCAATGTAGAAAGCGCTGAAGCCCATAAACCTTCCGGTTCCTTCTGGTATCTTTCTATGGAGGCTCTTTACCCAACTAACAGAACTGGGCTGCTTTAGAAGCTGTCAGCAAAGAAAGATGTGTGTGTCTCACACACTATAAACCACCAAAATTTAGATAAAACAACTAACAATACAGATGTTATTGCAACCATTTTCCTAATTTCTCTGCCAAACCACAAGCAATCCATGTGAAGCCTAAAAGATGTTTTATTACATAAGCTGGTAGAGGACTCATTTGAATAGTGAGGTTTGCTTCACATGTGGTTGCATTTTGAAGTCTCCACACATGGTTCTACAAATTTTGTGATTAGAGATCCACATTTGAAAGTTCTTAAAATGTTAAATATAATCTACTTAGAAAACCAAAAGCACAAAGGTCTGATTTATTACTATTCTTTTATTCCCCCATTGATACTTTTTTTGTAGATTAGATCACATGGTGAATTTTTGTGATTGGAACTGCCTCAGTATCAAGTTACTAAAATAGTCCAGCCGGGGACTGGGAAGATGTCTCTGCTTTCCTTGCATGCATGAGGGCCTGGGTTGGATTACTCAGCACCACATAAGCAGAAAAAGCTGGAAGTGGCGCTGTGGCTCAAGTGGTAGAATGCTAACCTTGAGTTGAAGAGTTGAGAGACAGTGCCCAGGCCCAGAGTTCAGGCCCCATGGCTAACAAAATAAATACATAAAATAAAATATTCTAGCAGAAACCCCCAAAAGGTTCTTTGCATTTGTATTTTTAGGTTGAGTCCAATTATATCAAACCTTACCATGTTGACAAAGTTGACCATTCCCCAAATTCGCTTCCTTATTTTACTGTGAGGTTTGCTGTTCCTGCGGAACTGGAAAGAAAAACCATCAGCGTTTACTAATAATAGAGACTGCCTGAACCGTTCATTCATTGCAAGACATTACAAAGAAAACAATTCATTGGAATAATAAAGAAGTCATTGCCCAGCCAACAAATAGTTGGACAATTTATGGAAAGAGAAGTTTTTGATATGTCATTGGATACAGCAGTTAGTAAACACATTGCATGTGGCTTAACACTAAGATTTTCTTTCTATATCTTTTTTCCTTTTCAAATTCATTACACAGATGCATTGAACCAACTGATTAGCATTCTTTCAAAACTACTTTTTCTTTTCTTTCTTTCCTGTGTGTGTGTGTGTGTGTGAGTGTGTGTGTGTGTGTGTGTGTGTGTGTGTGTGTGTGTGTATGTGTGTGTTACAGGTATTTGAACTCATGCCCCATATTTTCCAGGCTGGTGAGACTCCACTGAGCCATTCCTCCCACCCTGTTTTTTGCTGGTTAATTTCTGAGGAGGGTCTCACTTTGCATCCAGCATGGGCCTTGCGAGGATCCCAGGGACACAGCATTGTATCCAGTTTTCCTCCATGAAGATGGAATCTGAACTTTCCCATGGACTCTTGAATGCCTGGAACCATAAGCCTGGCAGTCTCAGCCCCTCCCCCATGTGGCTTGAGGTGGAAGGTGTGAACTTATCACACTCAGCAATCCAAGCTATTTCTGCTGGGGTGAACTGTGACCCTTCAATGCTCAGTCTCTGAAGTAACTAGAATTACAGGCATGAGCCACTGACACCTAGAAAATGTTCTCCCTTCCCTTCCTTTTTGTTTTAATAATAAGGCAACACTTATTAAATCTTTACTGCAACATCAGTATCTTAAGCCTCCTGAATCTGCTCATAATCTCCATGGATTATGGAACATTCCATCCAAAATACCTAGGAGTCAAACGCATGCCTGCAAAGGACAGGAAGAAGTGGAGAAGATCAGGAAGGACTCGTGTGCTCCAGCCTGCTCAGAATTTGGTTCTGTTCTCTAACTTCCTGAATTATCAGGATCTTGCGGCTAATGATCAATTAAATATATTTAAAGACAAGGAAGTGTTCTGTAGGGGTATATGAGATGAGCAAATCTCTTTCGTGATCACACTAAGAGTCAACACACCTCTCCTGAATCTTGTAGGTCTTCTCTAGTTACCTTTCCATTGTTCTTCCATTATCTTAAATATTGAAATTCTTCCAGGATACAGCATTAGAATCTCTTCCGTATTTATTTCCCACCGATTTGACATCCTGCGCTAATTTCTATTACCACTATTCCACTGTTCCAGAACTATTCTTGATAGCTCACACATGTCCTCTTAAATAGCAAAAACTCTGAATACCTTTCCTCACTTTTCTGGGCCTTTTGTATACAGTTAATACTGACCATTACACATTCAAAAACATTCCTTCATGTCTTAGTCTCTATTAGTTCATGTACTCTGGCTGGTTCCTGGCTGATTCCTATTTATCTCTCTGTGTTTCATAAATGGTCATCTATACATGCTCCAGTTTTCTGATTTTCCTCTTCAGGTATCAATTTTCTGTTTAATTATCTCAAGGACATGTATGTTTTTCCTTTTACAGATGTTAAAACAGCCTCTCAAATCTGCCTCCCATCTTTTCCCTATCCCTATTTCATTAAAATTTTGACTCACTTTCACATCTTCAATAAATGCAAGCCAATACTTTCATAATAAGAATGCTCTGAAATACCATTAGATGATTTAGAGTTCTGGGTGAGTCTATTTTCCTATCTGTTCATGATGGTGGATTCTCTTTCATGTGACTCAGGTTTTAAAATGATCTTTCTAGAACATTTTTGACTTGGCTTCTAGTTGTTTACCAGATCATAACCAGTTCTTATTTTACCTTGGAAGCCTTACTTGCATTGTCTGCACCTGAATAAAAATACTCTATTATGCCTCACAATTAATTTTGTTCTCCCATGGATAAAATTTTCCTTACTCATAAAAATGTCAAGCAGACAGGAAATTTCCTTTATGTTTTACTGCTTTACTGGAGGTTTTCTAGTTTTGCTTTCAGGGATGAGTCAGCCTATTATGGTTCTGGGGATTATACAGAAGACATAGCCAAACAGGCTTCCGGTGTTAAGAAGGTACAATTCCACCATCTCTTGTTCCTGTATTCTATAGATCATAAGTCCCCAAAGTTTTAGAATTTATTTCTGGTTCTGATAAAGACTTTCTGCTTAAATTTTAGCACTTGGAAAACGTCAGTATTTCCTTTTGATCTCAGCTCTGGGGTTGTTGACACGTTTTTAGTTTTTATACATTGTTGAGAATTTCTGTAACGTTTAGAGTAGGAGTAAGCTCTATTTGGGATTAGTCAGCTGTGTTATAAAGAGGGCTTGATGGACTCTTAAACACATCTGTTTTGGGAAATAAGAAACAGAAGTTGGAACCCGGAATGGGTCATAATCAGAATGACAGTCTTATACAAATGAGTGAGGAACAAAATCTTCACTCGAAACTTACCACATAATCATCAGCAACAACGAACAGTTCAACATAGCTCTCCTTGTGGGCACTCTGGAAGTTCATAGAAAATTCAGTGATGCAGATTAACTTTTTTTTTTTTTCACTATAAGGTAAGTTGAAAAAAATTCTAACATTTTTAAGGAAATGTTCCTGTTGTTGATAATAACAGGTGAAGGAAATGAGTACATTAGTAATTCTACCAATGTATATAAATACCCACTTTATATTGACACATACAGGACTATGCATCAGATTTCAATCATTGTGAAGCAGTAATTCCTATTCATTAGCCTTTCTCTTTTACTTTTTCCATTCAAATGACTACATGGTCGTAGCAATAAGAGTCTAAAGATCTGACTAAGTCTACTATGTAATTATCTATTCATCCAATTATTCAGCCAAGAGGCCCAGGCTTCAGACACTGTCTGGACAATGAATTATGAGAAGATAAACACAGATTGTTAGGGAACATCTAGAGGAGATTGAAGGGACTAAAATCTATTTGCATAGAAAACAGAAAACTTGCAACCATCTGACCAAAAATCACACTTTGTATTACCATAAGTGTCTTTAGCTATTAGAATAGTAGAACATTCTCCCTTTTATAAAAAGGGGAGACTCTGGCTTATCATTACCAACTCTCCCAATACTGGAAGAGAAGACAAAAAAAGACAGTATTCAGCATAGTTTCAGGACACTGTGGACTTCTTACATCCTTATCATGGAGTAACGTCTGTCTTTAGGGATGTCATTCCATGAAGAGGGTCACAGACACCCATTTTTAAAATTGACACTTATCATAGGCAATAAACAGTTTTTTTTTAACATGGATATCAATGAGGTTTGAAATTCAGCCTTCCTTTAAGTATCAAATTCAAAACAGCCATATTATGTTTTGCTAGTTGGATTCATCGTTTCTTTCCTAGGTCACAATTAGAATACGAGGTGTTTTACTTGGGCAGATCAGATTGAAAATGGGCCACTTACTTCTGCTTTTTGGTCTTCCTTATCATTTTCCTCTTGTGGAACAATTTCCTTGGTGAAATTGAGCTCTTCACAAGAATGATTGGCAGTATACAGCATCCTGGTGGCATATTTGAACACCAAATGCTGTCTCCCATCCGAGTATTTCAATGGTTCAATGAGATACCTTTGATCGTTTACTCTGAAGAATCCCCTAGAGAAATTGGAACATGATGCGTACTCATGATCTATGAGGATTCCATTCACTGAATTTTTTTCTCAGTGCTGGGGATGAATCTTAGATCTGTGAACATTCTAGGCATGTGCTGTACTAATTGAGAGATATCTTCTGCCATTGGTTGCTTGAGACACTAGCCTACTATACAACCCAGGCTAACAATGAACCCTTGAATCTCTTGCTTCAGCCTCCCAAAGCTGGGATTACAGGCATGTATCACCACACCTGATATATCTCATTTTGTCAAGAGAAACTACAAGGTCATGACCTCATGGGCATGTAGTAGGTTATGTTTGGGAAGTTAAGAAATGAAATGAGATTCAATCTTTGAATTCGGAATTGTTTGTGTCAGAGTGAACTTATCTGGATTTTCAGCAGTTTTTGAAAGTCTAATTTCTGCATTCAGTGTCAGTAATATTGTAGTAATTCCCACTGGTGGTTGTATCAGAGTGATTGCAGAAAATTCGAGTTTCCTTACAAGTCATATAGAGGACATATATGGTGTTACAAATGCTGGGATGGTTTCATTAGTAAAGCTATTCAAATTCTTGAAACTCTTGAGAATTAATCAAAGTAAGTCTTTCTTGTCCATCTCCTTGTGTCTTTCTTCTTTGTCCTTGGGTCCAAGTCTTTAAAGACTTGTAAGCTTTCTCTCTAACTTTTTACTTAGAGAAATACCCAGATTTAGTAATTCACAGAATCAGAAGTCAAGAGACATGGGTTTGGGATTCAGTTTGACCACTAGCACACTGAATGATCAGGAGAAAGTCTCTGGTCTTGCTGGTGTGAGCACACAGGCCAGCTTATGTCCAGGAACTTTTCATCTCTGAGCCCTTTGATCACATGCCATGAAACTCATCCTACTGAGGGCCCTGCATTAGACATCTTGTTGAAAATGAACATAAGTCACAGGCTGGAGCTTACTGCCAGTGCTGAACACATACACTCTCCATTTTCCCATCATTTTTTTTATATTTAACAGGGTTAGCAGAAAAGAAATTAGTCAAAAAGATATCATTAATGTCCATAGGAAAACTCTTTTTAAAAAAAATTTTAGTCAGTCGTGGGTTTGAACTCAGGGCCTGGGTACTGTCCCTGAGCTCTTTTGCTTGAGGCTAGCATTCTGCCACTTTGAGCCAAAGCTCCACTTCTGATCTTTGAGTGGTAAATTGGAGATAAGAATCTCACAGGGACTTTCCTACCTGGGCTGGCTTCAAACCATGGTCCTCAGATCTCCATCTCCTGAGTAGCTAGGATTACAGGAGTAATCCAGTGGTGCCCAAGCATAGGAAAACTTTTAACAATAAGAAGATTCTGGGCCTTACCTGAGGCCATTGCATGTGCTGATACTGGCTGCAGAGTCATATTCATGTACGATAGAACCTTGATAAAAACAGTGATCCTAAAATAGAAAAGTCCATCAACACTGACATTAACATTACACAAACATCAGTGAATCGATTATAACATATCAGCATTTATTTTCTGTTGAGAATATATCAGTATTTCAAAAATTTCTATGCATTTATTCACTACATTCTTTCACTTAGAAATATTTGATCCTCCTTTAGAGACTTTTAGTTTTATAATTATATTGTATAAAGTCCTGTATGTAACATTTCTCATAATTTTTTCTGTTAGGTAATGACACCAACTTTAGATATGTGACCCTTTCCATACAACTATGACTCCTTAAATCCACCCTCACATCTTTGCCAAACTAGCCCTCTAGGGCTAGCATCATCACTTCCTAGGTGGCTTATGAAATCAAGCCATATTCTTGACGCTTCTAAATTCAGATCATTCTGGCCAGGTGCCAATAGCTCCCTCTTATAATCCTAACTACTCAGTGGGTTGAGATCTGGGTTTGTGATTCAAATCCAGCCAAGACAGGAATGCTGTGAGATTCTTATCTCCAATTAATCACCAAAAAGCCAGAAGGATTGCTGTAGTTCAAGTGGTAGAGCACTAGCCTTGAGCAAAGAAACTCATGAACAGTGCCTACGCCCTGAGTTCAAGCCCCAGGACTGTCTCTCACTGCAAAAAAGAAGACATAAAATGAGACTTGATCTTCAACTGAATTTAAAGGCTGTGTAATTTTATAAGATTGTGTTATGACTTAGATATCATAAGGATCAACACTTGCTTTACATAGAGGAGATGGGTTTTACACAATTTTTGGTAAAAGGGAACAATGCCAATCTTGGCAAGAAGTTCTGGAAAGGTAGATGGCGGTAAAATAGAATGTACATCACTAGAATGATATTAATGATTAAAGTGAAGGCTGTTTTGGAGAAGGAAGATGAGACCATAATGGTAGCATGCATCAGAAGGGCTGGGGCATAGAGCTGCGAATCCCACAGAAATAAAATTCCATGGAGATCTTACAGTTGCTTCACGTGTTAGATTTCAGCCTTTAACCCCAATCACAATTCCAGTAGGATCCCTTATATTCCCCCTTCTACCACTTTGTACCATATTAAATGCAGACACGTCTGCTTAGTAAGCAAAAATACATTGGGAAACATTGAATTGCTAGCTGGCTAGTGGTCAGCCACCCTGGAGGCTCATCGAGTCCTATTTTCTAATGTTCTGTCATTTGGTGAGGGCAGTCCCGTCAGGACTCAATTGCAATATCATGCTTTTTGGACTCATTGGTAAATCTAGCATTGGGACCGAAAAATAACACCAGGATATAGCAGTTCAGAGGAAAGGCAGAGGATGATTAGAGAGATACCATAATCTGAGGGTGTCTGGTAAGCACTTCTCCTTTCACGTTATAGTATGTTTCACTGTAATTCGAAGCCAGAAGGTCCCTGAAACAGAGAGCAGGACAGAAATAGGCTTTGTTCATTTTCAGCCCCTAACAGATTAAAAACAGCCTTGTGGTAGAGAAGAGTCTAGGCATAATAGGAATGAAAGAACACTTAAAGAACTATGGAGTAGCAATACGAATACTCAAACCTATTGAGAGGTCAACCAGAACTTTCCAGAATGGTCTGAAATGAACCTGAATATGACTCTCAGGGTGATTATGGTTTGTGTTTTGGCCTGCTGATCTAGCAGATGGTTCAGAATAAAAGATTAAACCTCCCCTCCACACCCCTATTGTTTGGTTCTCTTTTAAGCTAATTAACCAGATTCTCTAGTAGTGTCTAACTTTCCATTCTACTTAACATCTGCCAACTCCTCATCCTTTAATGTGTGGGCATCTGTGACAGACAGTACCAAAGGCCCATAGGAAAGCGTTGGAAATTCTCAGCATCAATGGAGGGTTATTGAAGAAGGCTAAGGGCCTTAGGATGTCAGGATGAAGCAAGTTCTTCCTCCTTCTTAGCTCATGCCTCCAAAAGAACTTGGTTTAATATGTATTTGGAATAGCTTAGAAGCCGGTTGAAAAATGATACTTTTCACATTTCTTTTTGTCTGTGGATTCAAGCAGTACTAATGCATCCATCCTCTTCTTGGGGTGACCGGACAGAGCATAAAGAACCCCAAGTACCCAAAAAGAGAGCAATTCAGGGTCCAGAGAACAATGCCGAGGGTCTGTTGAAGCTGATGGGAAGGGGTAGGCTTGGGCTGAAGGGCAGAATCCCCCAAATCTATAGGTAACAATGGCTGAGGAGTTCACTGAACTGGTAGTTGAGGCAAACAGAAATATCCCAGACAAGATGAGCAAGGTATAGGATGACAAAGAACTCACCTTGATCGTAGCAGGTGAAGGATTAGGGTTTTCCCACTTAGATTTATTTCATATAGTATTTCTTCTTCATATATTTCCTGAAAAACAAGGTCTGTCATGTGATTTTCACAGTATTTATTATTTGTTTCTTTAGTGTCTCACCTGCCACAGGAGCAGGTGGACCTTTATCCACTTCTCAATTTTCCAACTTCAGTCTCTTCAGGGACTAAATAGTAATGAAGCTGGATTTAAAGTGAGCTAGTATTATAAGGAGAATTTTATGGAAGTTATTTACAAGTTAATTACAATTTTCTAAACACTTATTTCCTAGAAGTAAAGCAAAATGGAAAGTATCTAAAAGTCCCCTCATCCAGGGAGCCACAAATTACTAGACATCCACACCCCTAGCCAAGCCCTTAGGTCTTTATTTATGTGTTTGTAATCAATTTTGTGTGGAGTTATTTACACTCGCCTCTTTCATTTAATAAATCACTACCACACGTCCTAGTCTTAAAAGCATTGTTACATGGTGTTTCCTGTCTACAGAGTACAATGTAAGCGAAAGTTTATTTGTTAAACCCATGTTAATGATCAGAAATATGATTAAACAGCATTAAAAAGAGCAAGGCTTTTTCATAAGTATTGACAAGATATTCTAAAGAAAGGTAGTGCAAGTTTAGATTTTGAATTTTTCCTGGTGTGCTTTATGGCAGCTTCTATAAGTATTACATGAACATTCAATCGATAATATTTATTACTGGTAAATTGCCTTCAGACCAGTCACACATACTACCATTCATAAAAAGGTTTTCAAATAATGGGAGGGTAACATGTGACACATTATTTTCTTGGTTTTTTTCTTTGCTTGTTTGGGCACTAACACAATAAAATCTCTAGGTTCATCTTGAGTTAAACTGGTCTTGAGTAAGTCTTTGCAGAGTAGCTTCTAGGAGAGTCTGCAGATTCTGTACAGTACGTAGGAGAAAACTAGTTTTGCCTTTTTGACTGCATCCACTTTTGAACAATATAAATGCTTGAGGTGAGAAAAGACATAGAAAAAAAAATTTATGTGTAAAGAAACTTATTGGGATAAAATGATATTATTTCCAAATGGGAGGGGCAGACTATTTCTGGCTTCTGGTCTGAAGTCAGAAGAAATAGGATCTCAGGGAAGCCATTGGGAAAGTTGAGATGCGTCTTGCTTGTGACGCTCTGAGAAACACAGTGGTTACCGTTGCTCAGCCTAGAAAAGTGACTTCTGTAGTGGGAGAGGGAAGGGAAGTCATTGCATTTGGAAAAGTTTGTATTTTCATAGTTGATAGGGAAACATGCCGATCTTTCTGTGAGCCAGCTTGAAAAGCTAAAATGTAAAATGCAAGTGTCTTTGATAGATATCTAAGATCATTGTCTAAGAACTTTTATAACAGTGGAAATTGAATTCACTTAATTGTGAACCTTGTTCTCTCAATATATTTTATCAATTTTCTTTTCTTGTTTTGTACCACAAGGGCTTAAACTCAGGGCCTTGAGCTCTATCTTAGCTTTTTCCCCCCTGCTCAAATCTGGCACTCTACCACCTGAGCCATATTTCTCCTTCTGGCATTTTTGTTTGTGCAATGGAGATAAGAGTCTTTTGGATTTGTCCACCTGGGCGGGCTTTGAACCACAAATCCTCAGATCTCAAACTCCCGTGAATCAAGGATTACAGGAAAGAGCCATTAGTAGCCAGAATTTTTCTTTTCTTTTCTTTTTAGTGCCAATAGTGGAGTTTGAACTCAGGGCTTCATACTCTCAATTGTCTTTTTTTTAAAATGAAGATTGTGCTCTACCATTTGAGCCATACCTCCACTTCTCAATTTGCTATAATAGATATTTATTAATTTTGAAAAAATACTTTAAGTGTTTTCAAATTTTTAACACTTAAATGAGCAACTGTCTAAGGGACAGGCCACGCAGGACTTTTTGTTCCTGTGAAAACTCTCAGTTTTCTTTCTTTCTCAAGAGAACTGTTGGTGGAAGTTTTCATTCTATTCGAAATGTAAGAAATGGCAAGGGCTAAAACTCTGATGCGCGTTTTCATTGTTTGGTAATTTGCTAAAAGATACCAAATTACTCCTGAGCACACGCTCTCAACTAAATTAGAATCCTCTGAAAAATACACAGTCCTGCATTCTTATCTACTTCTGATTGGAGCCAATGTTGGCTTTCTACTCATTGCAAAGGCACTGAAGTCTTATTTACTAAAGCAGAAGTTATACCTGTGCATTAAAATCATGGATGTGTCCAAGATCTCGCTTCTGGACCAGAGGAAGTCTTTTAGGATGAACCAGTTCTTGACCCTTTACTCCAAGGATGACCTTTTCTAAAAGGAAACATAAGGAGAAAATCCGTCTGGTATAACATCCATCCACAGTGATTGGAAAAAAAGTGTTCACAGGGAGTTCACAGATTTCCAACCAGCAGCCTCGAGCATACACCCTCCTCCCCTTCCAATTCACCTACAATTGGAAAAGGGGACGCAGTAGGAATGTTCTAGGCTTCTTCCATGTTTTAGCCTTGTTCTGCAGCTGTTACATTTGTCATTTTATTATCTTTTAATGACTGTCCCTGAATCTACCTCCTTCAAATTTTCAATGAAAATTACCAGATTGTTTTGGCCCTTTAAGGAATCTCTGCACCTGAAATCTTAACTCCTGTAGGGCTCCATTTGTTAGATAAGTTTAGGGGCCCCCATGCTAGTGCTAAATGAAGTCTTCTATTTGCATCCTGGTCCCCCTGGATGTCAGCTGGGAGGAGACCCCAGGGCTCAGATTGCAATGAAGGGGAGAAGGCCTGGACTGATCTGATCTCAATAAAGCTTTACTCCCTACCCCCATTTTAACTGTATGATCATGAGTAGGTAACATATCTACACTCTGATCTACAACTATGACTCATTTTCCTTATCTATAAAGTAGAGAAAGGATGGTAATACATGGTAAACATTCAGAAAGTACCAAGTGGCTAACAGCTAGCAAGGTGTCTAGTTTGTATATGGTAGGTATGCAGAAACGTTATTCCTTCCTTAGTATTGGGACTCTCAGTCCTGAAGAGTGAGATGCAGGTATGCAGAATCATCAGTAGGAGGGCCAAGCCTTTCTACCATCTTCAATAATGCTTTCATCATTTATCATTTAAATGTTGGGACTACACATTGCCGTATGACATAATAGTTTAAAACAACTCAATAAAAAGTTAAAGACATACCTTTAATCAGAGAAGTGAGTAAAATCATCAGCAGTACGTGGTGAGGACACATCCTGGATGGCCTGGTGGAAGAGGGGCTTCGGGACCTGAGCGAAGCTGGGCCTCACGCTCCGTCCTGGCCCTTCTTCCGTGGTGAGGATGGAGAGTGTGGCACCCAGACGGGCAGTTTTGATCCGGCACCAGGAAGTGCCCCCAGCTCCGATTACACAATGCGTTCAGTGCTTGAGGCGAAAGCTGGAGGTTGGACATCATGTTCTCATAGAGACAGCCACTGAGCTGGTGCTGGGGAACGTGGGCTTGGCCTAGATGCCCACTTCAGAACTGATATACACTTGCTTCTAGATGTACTAAAACTTCAAAAGGAGAAATGTCAAGAACGTTCTAGAAAGAACCACTGGAAGATGTTTAGAGGCCTATTCTTTCACTAAAGAAAGTGAAGTCCTTGCTGTGTGGAAGACCATAATAAAAACACAAGGAACCATTTGATAAAGCAAACAAGACAAAAATATTGAAAATATATAAACTTTGTAAAAGAGACTGGATTTCATGTGAATTTATTGAGCAAATTCATAAATTACCACATTATTTGATAATATCCTTATGTATTTTCCTCCAAGATATTTTGGATATATCATTCAAGCTACCTTCATCTGCTGGGTACTGATGACTCACGCCTTAATCCTCATGACTCAGGAAACTGAGGACTAAGTATTGCAGTTCAAAGTCAGCCCAGGCATGAGAGTCCATGACACTCTTATCTCCAATTAGCTACTTCCACCATAAAGCTGGAAGTAGTACTGTGACTCAAGTGGTAGAGCGCTAGACTTGAACACAAAAGCTCAGAGACAATGCCCAGGCTCTGAGTTCCAGCCCTAGCATGGGTGTACACATGTACATACACACACATGCACACACACACTCACACTTTAACTCAACGGATAATCTCTGCCAGGAGAAATTCTAACATTTTTCAAATCAATGAAGAAATAATTAAAGGCCCATAAGCCTTGACCATTCACCAAACAAATATTCACTCATGCTCCAAATAGAACACCTCAGCTTCATTGACAGGCAAAAAGAACATTTCAAGTTATAAGAAACCTACTAAGTTCTCCTTTGTTACACTAAAGACTGTGCAGAAAGAGTAAATCAATTTTTAAAATGCCAATCATGAAATGTCAATTATATATTGTGTCATGTTTAATTATAAGTGTTCCAGTTATTTGTCTGGTATCTTCTATGAAATGCTACATATTTAATTTATCTATGCGAACTTTCTAGTGCTTCAGAACTTTAAGGAAATTAACAAGAGCTTTTGTAAGTAGTGGGGATGAGAAACTAAAAATCATGGAACCAGGCTGCTTCTGTGTTTATTTTATTCTACATGAGGGCATCTCTCTTTTGAGTGAGAAGTTTACTGTTCCTCACAATTGATGGGCAACTCTGTAATCAATGTTTCAAACTTGAAAATCCTTGTCCCTCAGTACTAAACTCATTTGTAAGAAATAGGGGAAAATGAAGATTTTTATAACTTGTCTATAATTTATTCTCCCTCAGGTCACAGTAGCATCTTGTATTTAACTTAGAAAGTTCATGAAAGCATACAAAACTTTTCTTAAAAAACAACTAACCTTGAAGCAGATTTCCACATGAAAAGAATTCCTCCTTTGTAGAATCCAAATATGAGACAAAGCAGATTTTAGTGACTAGTCTCTCATGAGACTGTTTTCTTCACTATTTCTCTGCTGAAGATCAGTGAAGCTCCATCTCCCTGTGTTCCAATTAACTTCCATCATTATTTCAATAAGGAGTTTTATGGTTGTAGGTTTGTGTGCTTATTCTTTCTTGCGACTGTTTGAAGTCTTTATAGAATCATCCACAAATAGTTTTGTTTGGAGGCCTGCAACTTTGTCCAGAGTGTGCCCTCTTTTGCCTTTAATCTCTCTTAAAACCCAGGTGAGTCCTCAGGACTACCTTTCTAAGTCTCTCTCTCTCCTATTTCTCTCTCTTCTCTTCTACTTCTTGAGACTTGGAGAACAGTGCTATGGACTTTCATAAGCAGATAAGGAATGTACTCACGATGATAGAGACCCCAGAGGAATGACAGATGATAGAGCAGATACTCTGGGTTGGAGATGGAAAACAAGCTTGGTCCAGATATTCAAAATGCTTCCCTTCATAGCAGCATCGTAAGATGAAGAAAGGCTCTTCCCCATTTGAGTTAGTGAAGAAAAAGAAAGGAATGAAGAAAATAATCATATTCAAATTATAGTACTAATGGTAAGATTATCCTATAGAAAAAAATTTGAATAGAAATTAAATGAAATAAACAATTCCATTTATAATCCCCCAAAGCCTTTGAGAATAAATTTTATCAAAGAACTAAGAAAAAATAAGAAAAAAAAACTAATAAGATAAATTGAAGAGAAAAATAAGAACTGGAAAGGCTTCCTATTTTCTTGATCAGTATTATTAAGTCAATATTATTTAAATGTCTATAGTATCCAAAGCAATGTGCATATTCAGTGTAATCCCTATCAAAATGCCAGTGATTCTTCACAGTACTGAAGAAAAAAAATCAGTGGCAAATGGAACTACACACAGACCAAAAAAAATATACATACATAAATGAATGAATGAATGAATAAAAACAGTAAAGCTCAAGTAATCTGGAACAAAAAGGAAAGAGCAGGACACATTATATTATATGATGTTAAAACAGGATCCAAAGTTTTATCAATCATGCCAGCATATGCTGACATACAAACAGAAAACAATGGAAGGGAATAGAGACTCTAAATGAGAGATGAGCATGCACATGTTTGTGCTTGCTTCCCACTGAGCTTCCAAGGATCCCACAGGCATACACCCTGGGTGAAGTTCGGTAAATGGTACTTCTATGTGCAGAAGAAAGAAACTACACCCTTCTCTCTCACTACATACAAAAATTGACTCAGACCTATTAATGTCTCAAACGTAAGGCTCAAAATTACAATTTTTTGAAGGAAACACAGGGGATATGCTCTTCAGCGGGTTTGATTGTTTTGGTAAGACCCAAAGAGCACAGAAAACAAAAGCAAAAATAGATAAATGGGAACCCATAGATTCAGAAAGCTCTGAAAGCAAAGCAAAAAGTCATCAGAGGAAAGGGAGAGCCTTTACAAGGGAAGAAAATGTTTGAAAACTGTACTTCTAATAAGGGGTTGCAATTAGAATGTTCTATCTGACTTTAAAAGAAATATCATTATAAGCTATTCCAAACCCACATGAAGGGCATCTTGTAATTCTCTTTGTAGATTCAGAAGCCAATCAGAGCCTATTAATTCTGTCTGTAATGTACTGAAAAGAACACCACATTCCAAGTCAGGAACTTTGTGTTTTCCTGTAATGAATTCACTAACTTTAAGAGCCATTTATTTCTGAGCTTTACTGTCTTATTTATAATTGAAATTATTATAATGTTTGATCACTAAGATCTTCTTAACATAAAAATCCAATGATTTCATGCTTTTATTATTTTTTCCTATCCTCAGACCTTTACTGCAAAGAGAAACATTCAGCTGAGAAATGAAATATTGAATGTAATAATAAAAAATCAGGGGAAAACGCAATATTAGAAAATTACAATGTTGTCAATTAACATGATCAGTAACTTGTGTGTAACAAATTCAACAGGAGGCATAAAATTGACTCATTACTACCAAAAGGTGCAAGGTTCTTTGTGGGGAATGGCAATCACAAAAAAATAGAATATATAGCTGGGCGCCAGTGGCTCACGCCCGCAATCCTAGCTACTCAGGAGGCTGAGATCTGAGGATCACAGTTCAAAGCCACCCAGGCAGGAAAGTCCATGAAACTAACCTGGAAGTGGTGTTGTGGCTCAAGTGGTTGAATCTGACAAGACCTATACTTTTAAACAATATATTAGGGTACTGTAGTCTTCCTATGTATTAAAACAAGATGCTGCCAGGTACCAGTGGCACCTACCTCCATTCCTAGCTACTCATGAGGCTGAGATCTGAGGATCACGGGTCAAAGTCATTGTCACCCCTTTTCATTGTTCTCCCTCATCACTTCCCACAGTCTTCTTAATTTTGTAGAATGTGCATTGAATTTGTTGACTGTTGGCCTTGGTGTACATTTAGTTTTCAAGAACCTGATGATCACTCAAGGGTTACTGAGTTACTCTAGAGTCTTTTTGTCATTGGGAGAAGGTTTTCCTAGAAGCATGGATGGCCAAATATACAACATGTAAGGTAGCATGTCCAGCTTCTGCTGGCAAAATATTTTATAATCATCAGGTAAAAACATCAGACACTTCACTTTCAAACATCCGATTGCTTCTCTCCTTGTCCCTTCTATTGGCACACTCAAGTGAGTTCCTCATAGCCATGTCCCCTTTCATCCTCCTACAGTTTTAGGTGAAATAATTCCTTCAAGGTTGACTAAGTAGAACAGAGAGGGTACTTGGTGGTTTAATATTTAATTCTTATTGGATGTTACACGTTGCCTTCAATGTGACCATATGACAAATCACTGTCTGGGATGAAGGTCTCCCCACAGTCTGTCTTTCCTAAACCCATGTATGTTTTCATATCCGGATCTTCATCCTTCACCTTTCCCTGATAGCTAAAATTTTTGCCCACTTTTGCCCTCCAGTCTGCATGTTCATGTGCGAGTGAGCTGGAGTCAACTTTGGCTTTTCTCTTTGCTTGTTGGTATGGATTAGTGGTGGTGAGAGATGAGGTATTCGTAAGTGTGTTTGCTGGTCCAGAAGACTGTAACACAGAGGTTACGATCTTATATTTACGATCTTAAATCTGAACTTGCAATGGAGGAATCCTGAGTGAGGCTTTGATTTGCATCTTTGGAAATAAGCTCAAGATCTTCAGAAACAGAAACTACATTTACCATTCACGTGTCCCTGTCAAGGTCTAGCAACACTACAGGCTGTTGGGACTCAATAAATAGTCATTTGAAAGTTGGATTAATTCACCAAAACTTTATGGCTACACTGAGTGTATAAAACAGATGATCATAGCATATTTACTG